CGGAGTGGGAAAGCGGATGCCGGCGGCGCGGCGGCCGGATTGGCAGGAGGGACGGGCGAGGGGTGTGCGTGCGCGTCGCCTTCCCAGGTAAGGCGAGCCTGCCGGAGGCGCCTTTCCCGGGCGAGACCCCGGCTTCAATCCCCCGCAGCCGCACACGAGCTTCGCTTTCTTTTGCTTGCTGGGAGCCCTGATGGGAAATTTTTTTGGGGGGGGTGTCTCTGCTCCGCTCCGCTCCCCTCCATGGAGGCTGGGTTCTCCCCGTGACATCGGGAAGGCGGGTGGTGTTTGCGCGGCTGGGGGATCGAACCGGTCTGGTGCCCCCTGGCGGCTCTGAGAAAGCTGCCTCCCAGAGAGGGAGAGAGAATCGTGTCGACCCCCAAGTGCAAGAATTGGGGTGGGGGGTGGGTTTTGTGGCAGTCAGCCTTACCTGCGTGTCAGCCGCCCCGGCGTGTACATCTTTGCAGCCGCTGCCTCACTCCCCCTCGCCCCCCCTCCCCGTGCATGATGTCCTTTCCCAGAGAAATATTCAAATGGCATTCCCGTGTCGCTGGAGGGTTTTTGTGCTCAGATTTAAAGATAAAATAAAAAATAAACCCCCCTGCTTCTTTTCCGGCATCTTGTCACGGATTTCAGTCGCATAGGCGGCATGTCTGCATCAAGGGTTTCGGGCATCCCCCCCCCCCCAATAATAAGAATCGATAAACCCCGCTAAGACTCTGTCATGCTGGCTGGATCCCGTATCAAAGATCTGTGCTGTTCTCTTTTTGGGTTTTTTTTTTTTTTTGATGTCAGCGTAGTGGGATAGCGTCTGTGCACTCACATGGCATAGGCATGATTCAAATTTCCCTGATTTCTCCTCCCTCCCCCCATACACACACACTTAGCATGCTGCTTTTGGGAGACCACACTTTATATACAGCCGTAAAATACAGTATAGTCTTAGATGGCGGAATGGGGAAAGACCCCCTTGGACAAATGCATGTGGAAGGGACCAGATGGGCTGCCTCTGCCTGCAAAGAAATAGTGGGAATTGTGGCCGTGGCAAAGAGAAAAGGGGTGTGTGGCGGGATGGGCCATTTTTCGGCGAAGGGAAACCTGCAGTGTGTCCTCGGAAGTTTGCTTCCTCCCCCCTCCAAGGCAGAGGTGAATGTGCTGCAGTTTCAAGGGTACCTGCAAATAGAATGCGGGGAAGCTTTGGTGGGATACAGGCGTTTTCCAGAGAGACTCCTGGGGATTTTTTTTTTCTTTTTGGAAAATACCTGTCTTCCCATGAAATGGGAAAGGCGAGGCGTCACAATTCCTACCTTGATGATGTGTACAGGGAAGGCATGGGTTCTGGGCACATGCACCTCGAAGCAGAGGGACTTCGGGAGTGGCCTTGGCCTTATCAGTCAACGCCGGCACCCCCCAGTGCTAATTCGCAATCGGATTCACGAGCTGCCAAGTTCAGGGGAACTGTAAAGATTCAGTCTCGGGGAGTTCCTTCCTGGACCACTGCTCTCAAAATTCAGCCGCAGTCACTTCAGAAGCCCAAGAGCCTTATGTTTTACGCCAGGGGGTGCCAACCTCGAGGGCACCCCTCTGCCCATCCCCTTGTGGGCCGAGGGATCCCTACGTGTCTGTCGTTGAATCCCGCCACATGGCAAGGTCACGTTCTGTGGCTCAGGACTCAGCTGGTGGTGGGCTCTGGTCAGCTCTGTTGGATTTCACCGATGCTTCCTTGGATGCTTCCAGAAGGCACCCAGCATGCCTTTGGTCGCAAATAGCAGCGAGGGGCGGAAACAACCAGTGAGGGCAGCGGGACGCTTGTCTTTCATGGAAGCTGATCGGTCACACGACCGGACTTCTTTTTGAGGGGCCCCTTATGAGCTTCCGAAGAATCGTGGGGGTCCCCAGAAGACGGTTTGAAAAGAAACCCCCATGTGATGATGTATCTGTAGAGGCCTAGGCTGTAGTGGCACCAGTTGGAGGAAGCAGCTCGAGGCGGGAAGGTGTGGGTCAGCCCCTCAAATTTGTTAACATGTTTTAATTCCCCAGGGGATTCCTCCCCCTCAAGAGCTCAGGGTAGGGGCGTGTGGTTCCCTCCTGCCTCCATTTTTATCTTCACAACAGCCCTGTCAGGTAGATTAGCCTGAAAAGGGGGAGAGGGGCTGGCCCAGGGTTACCTGTCGAATTTCGTGGCTGGTGGGGATTTGAACCTGGGTCTCCCCAGCCCTCTCTGACTCCCAGTTCGGCTGGGTCAGTGAGATTTTCCATGTGGATCCTGCACTTGGAAAACAAAATCAGAGTTCTGCACCCAGAGAGTCGTCTTTTTCTGCAACCTGTATAGATCATGCCGGGTACTGCATGGTGGGATGGCCCAGACTGGCCCGATCTCGTCAGATCTCAGAAACTAAGCAGGGTCAGCCCTGGCTAGTGTTTGGAGGGGAGGCTGCCAGGGAAGCCGAAGGTTTCTGCGCAGAGACAGGAAATGGGAAACCTCCGCTGAAGACTCTTGGCTCGGAAACCCCGTGAGGTCACCACGAGTTGGCTGCTACTTGGTTCAGGCCCCAGCTTATTTTGCACCCTAGGCGAGGATCCCTTCTGGTGCCCCCCCCTCATGCGCCCCCCATTTCCCAAAAATAAATGCATTTTAGGAAGAATGAAAAACACAAATAATCAAGAAACTCCCAGAGTATGGGGCCGGGTGCAGTTTGGCGCCCCTAAGGGTCAGCCCGCTCTAGGCGATCACCTAGTTCGCCTAGTGAGTGAGCCGGCCCTGACTTGATGGCACTTTCCTCTGTCAAGGCAGGGTTCTCCTGCGGGGCACGGGGATTAGCAACACTGAAGCCCTGCCCTGTGCCCAGTAGAGATGCCCCTGCTGCCTAGATAACGTTCAAGCTTAGGTTATTATTGGGATCTGTCTGAAGCAGGGGTCATTTCCTGCTGGAGTGCACAGGAGCGGAGCTCCGGCAGTGAAGAGCCCAGGGGGCAGGCACATGCAACGAGCCCCACCCCCTGCTCCCAGCAGCCCTCAGTCAGAGCAAGAAACAGCCAGGTAAGCTGCAGAGCCCCCCCGCCCCCCCCGGTCCAGAACAGTCCAGTGGCACCTTTAAGACCAGGTTTTATTCAGGTACAAGCTCTCCCTCTTCTGCGAGGACAGATCTGCACGTTTCTCCCCCCCCCCCAATAGCTAGGAATCCGAAACACTCCAGTGGAGCCTGAGCGGTGGGTGTTGCCTTCTGACATGATTCTGGTGATGTCAGGGGGTGTGGCATATGCAAATAAGTTAGGCTAATGAGTTATGCTAATTAGCTCCTGCACCTCTTTTCCTACAAAATTACCCCTGGTCTGAAGGAAATGCGTGCTGATGTTTTTGGACTTGCCGCACCCTGGACCGCTGCAAAATACCGTGCTGTGTGAAGCAGCCGTGAGAGGCACCCAGCTTTGCTTCCAATCGACCCTTTGCATGTTTAACAAACGTCCTTCACGTGCTCTTTTTCCCTCTACCAGGTACAGCTCCAGCGGAGTGGTGCCCAGTCCGTTCCCGTCCTGCTTCCTTGACCTCCGCGGTTCCACACACCGTTGGGTACTTCCCTTGTGACATGGGGCGTGTTTGGTGTCTGGCTGCTCCTCTCTGGCGGCTTGCGGCGAAGAGAGTCCCGTGGCGTAGTAAGCGCACCCGTTGGCTTTTACACACTTTGTCTCTCCCCACTGCTTTCCTGGGATCGAATGTTTTGAACATTGATGGGGTCTGAACTGGCAGAGACTGATCAAGAGAGAGATCTTGGAGTTGTAGTAGATAACTCACTGAAAATGTCGAGACAGTGTGTGACTGCAATAAAGAAGGCCAATGCTATAGTGGGAATTATTAGGAAGGGTATTGAAAACAGATCAGCCAATATCATAACGCCCCTATATAAATCAATGGTGAGACCTCATTTGGAATACTGTGTGCAGTTCTGGTCACCACACCTTAAAAAGGATATTATAGCTTTAGGAAAAGTGCAGAAAAGGGCAACTCGAATGATAAAAGGGTTGGAACACTTTCCCTATGAGGAAAGGTTAAGGCGCTTAGGGCTCTTTAGCTTGGAGAAACGAAGACTGAGGGGTGACATGATTGAGGTTTATAAGATTATGCATGGGAAAGAGCAGGTAGAGAAAGAGGTACTTTTCTCCCTTTCTCACAATACAAGAACTCGTGGGCACTCCATGAAATTGCTGAGCGGTCGGGTTAGAACGGATAAAAGGAAGTACTTCTTCACCCAAAGAGTGATTAACATATGGAATTCACTGCCAGAGGAAGTGGTGGCGGCTACAAGCATGGACGCCTTCAAGAGGGAATTAGATAAGCACATGGAGCAGAGGTCCATCAGTGGCTATTAGCCACAAGGTATAGATAGGGGCTCTGGGGCAAGTGATGCTCTGTCATCTTGGTGCTGGGGGGGGGTCAACAGTGGGAGGGCTTCTAATGTCCTGGCCCCACTGCTGGACCTCCTGGTGGCACCTGGTCTTTTTGGCCACTGTGTGACACAGAGTGTTGAACTGGATGGGCCTTTGGCCTGATCCAACATTGGCGTATCTTATGTTCTTATGAACAGAAGTTACTGGGGCTTGCGTGCGTGGACTTGCAACACTGCTGGGTTCCCGCTAGAATCCTGGAAGCCACAGAGCCACCATGGTGCAGGGGTCAAAGCGTCAGACTAGGGTCTGGGAAATCCAGGTTCGAATCCCAGCTTGTGCCGTGGGAGCCTGCTGGGCGACCTTGGGCCAGTCACCCCCTCTCAGCCTAACCTGCTTCACAGGGTTGTTGTGCAGATAAATCGGAGGAGAGGAGAATGAAGTAAGCCACTTTGCGGTTATAGGCAAAGTATAAATATAATAAAGTTCACTCTCCAGACATACCTCTCTCTCCTTCCCCCTTGTTTCTCAACTTTAAAAGGATACCGGGTAGCTGTGGGTAGAAGTTTTGGAGGAATGGAAACGGATTGTGGGGGAGCAGCCAGCTCCCATGATGCTCCTGTGCTACTCTCCCAGGTGGTTTTTTTTTAAAAAAAAAAGCACCATATTTTGTGGCTGTTGGTACCACAAAACGCCTCTTCTCTTCTCACAGCACATTCATGATTTTGTCACACTTAGGGTGAGAAAGAATAGTGAAACCCCGACCTGGCTGTCTTCCAGTTTCTAAAAGTTTCCCTGTCTGGTTCTCTGGAAAACGTTTCATATTCACCCTAGGCAACTAAACGAACTGCGGTTTACGGTTCTGCGCTCCGCAGCGCTCTGAAAGTTGGGACAGTTTGAAAGTGGTCGTGAAAACGAAACAGGTGGATGATACGGAGTGGGCGCAGAGGTCATTTCGGGGGGGATCGCTGGGATCGCAGTTCCCCCGGGTGAGGTACGGGGGGCGGGGCACATGATGAAGCCCCGCCCCCTGCTTCTGGCCCTCATTCAGCCAGGAGGAGGCAGGAGAAGAGGGAGGGTAAGTTGCTTCCTCCCTGCCTCTCCCCGCCCCTGCCTGCCTGGGGCCAGGGAGGGCCTTTGCGGGGCTTCCCCGCACTCCCGCCGGCCTTGCAGGTCCACCGCCGGGCCCCTCATGGGGCTCGGCAGTGGAGCTGCAAGGCCGGCGGCGGCCGGGACCGTTGGGGGCAGGGGATGTGGCCTTATGACACACTTCCAGTGATGTCAGGGGGTGTGGCATATGCTAATGAGTTATGCTAATGAGTTCGCCTAGCTCTTTTTCTACGAAACGACCCCTGAGTGGGCGAGACTGTTCCATTGACTTTGCGTTGCTTTCCTAGAGATCTAGCCAATGCTCCCTCTAAGCCGTGGGGTCTTGTGAGCGAAAATTCTACTTTGTGAGCCACTGGCATTAAAATTGTGAGTAGCGAGAGATTTGGCTACGGCGTGAGTTTGCTCTGGAGCCATCCCTTCCTGAGCGAAGACAGAAACGGAGGCTAAAACACTTTGAGCTAGCTCACACCAGCTCAGCTTAGAGGGAACACTGGATCCAACCACCCTAATATCTGAGCATCCCTTTTTTGCATCTCCCCTCTCCCCCCAGTCTTTCCAGGGGGCTGGCTCCAGCACCGTGCTGGCTCCCTTAACGTGCTTAATTGGCGCGTTTATTGTCGGAAGGGCTTTCCCCATCCCTGCTGGCGCTCCAAGATAAAGCGACTCATCGTTCGCGGAGGCACTCAGCGAAATCCCTTGCCTCACTTAATGGGATTGCCTTCCTGGCAAAGCCCCATCCCTTGAAAGGGAGGGGAGACCCAGGCAACTTAGGCTGACTCCTTTCATGGATCTCAAGACCAAATTAGCTCATAAAACACCGCTGGCTCCAAGCCTCTTTCCGCGGAGCCCGAGGACAGTTTTGTGAGACTACCGGGGAGCGTAATTGGGCTTCCAAAAGCGGGTAGAGGCTCACTGAGAGGAGGTTTTGGGTAGCGTCGCCTTCTTCCCGGCCACACGGATTAAAATCACGCCGTACCTTTTGTTCAGGCCAACTAGGGCTCTTTTTGTAGCAGGAAGCCCTTTGCATTTTAGGCGACACGCTCCCTAATGTAGCCAATCCTCCAAGAGCTTACAGAGCTCTTCTTACAGGGGCTACTGTAAGCCCTTGGAGGATTGGCTACATTAGGAGGGGTGTCGCCTAATATGCAAAGGAGTTCCTGTTACAAAAAGAGCCCTGTATACTGGCCAATCAAAGTTTTTGCTCAGAGCCAGTGTGGGATTTCCTATCTGCTGCCCAGTCCCTCCTTGGATAGTGAGATTCGTGTGGGAATATGTGGACTGCATCTGGAGATGAGGAACTCTGTGTCGGTTCTGCTTGTACCTAGAAGCAGACTGGCAGCCGGTGCAGAGCTTTTCAAACGTGGAAATGTCACGCGCCTCTGCTGGCAGACTGGCTGGCTACCATGTTCTGAATCAGCCGAAGCTTTGGAACAGTCATCAAGGACAGCCCCCCATGCAGCGCAAATTGTAGTAGTCCAACCTCTGAATGAATGGTCGCATCTGGTCACATTTCATTTGCATTGCATTCCAGGGATTGTTTTCCAAAGGTAATACCAGTGCTGGTGGTTGCGGTTGTGCTGCAGTTGTGCAGCAACCAATTGCTCGTGCTGACTAGTCGGGTCAGAATCTGCAGCTTTGCAGAGCCAGATGGAACCATATTGGCCCTGGTATCACCAGACCCCCTCCAACTTGGTTGATGCAATACCATTTCTCGCTATCTGCCACGGTAGCATTGCAGTGCAGCAAATGCCAGGTTAGCCA